TTTTTGCACTTTTGCTATCTATTTTATTCAAATGACGTCATGCAAATAGCTGGATAAAATTGAATAAATTAATAAATTAATAAATTAATAAATTAATAAATTAATAAATTTCCGTAAGTCCTTTTCTGCATGATGAAAAAGGAGATAGACGTCATAAAAAACCTATTTGAAAAAATGCTATGGTATTAAAAACACTGTTTTTTGCACTTTTGCTATCTATTTTATTCAAATGACGTCATGCAAATAGCTGGATAAAATTGAATAAATTAATAAATTAATAAATTAATAAATTAATAAATTAATAAAAATTAATTAAATTTCCGTAATTCCTTTTCTGCATGATGAAAAATTAATAAATTAATAAATTAATAAATTAATAAATTTCCGTAAGTCCTTTTCTGATGATGAAAGGAGATAGACGTCATAAAAACCTATTTGAAAAATGCTATGATATTAAAAACACTGTTTTTGCACTTTTGCTATCTATTTTATTCAAATGACGTCATGCAAATAGCTGGATAAAATTGAATAAATTAATAAATTAATAAATTAATAAATTAATAAATTAATAAATTAATAAATTTCCGTAAGTCCTTTTCTGCATGATGAAAGGAGATAGACGTCATAAAAACCTATTTGAAAAAAATGCTATGGTATTAAAAACACTTTTTTCTGCACTTTTGCTATCTATTTTATTCAAATGACGTCATGCAAATAGCTGGATAAAATTGAATAAATTAATAAATTAATAAATTAATAAATTAATAAATTAATAAATTAATAAATTTCCGTAAGTCCTTTTCTGCATGATGAAAGGAGATAGACGTCATAAAAAACCTATTTGAAAAAATGCTATGATATTAAAACACTGTTTTTGCACTTTTGCTATCTATTTTATTCAAATGACGTCATGCAAATAGCTGGATAAAATTGAATAAATTAATAAATTAATAAATTAATAAATTAATAAATTAATAAATTAATAAATTTCCGTAAGTCCTTTTTCTGCATGATGAAAGGAGATAGGCGTCATAAAAACCTATTTGAAAAATGCTATGGTATTAAAACACTGTTTTTTGCACTTTTTGCTATCTATTTTATTCAAATGACGTCATGCAAAGCTGGATAAAATTGAATAAAAATAAATTAATAAATTAATAAATTAATAAATTAATAAATTAATAAATTTCCGTAAGTCCTTTTCTGCATGATGAAAGGAGATGACGCGTCATAAAAACCTATTTTGAAAAATGCTATGATATTAAAAACACTGTTTTTGCACTTTTGCTATCTATTTTATTCAAATGACGTCATGCAAATAGCTGGATAAAATTGAATAAATTAATAAATTAATAAATTAATAAATTAATAAATAAATTAATAAATTAATAAATTTCCGTAAGTCCTTTTTCTGCATGATGAAAGGAGATAGACGTCATAAAAACCTATTTGAAAAATGCTATGGTATTAAAACACTGTTTTTGCACTTTTGCTATCTATTTTATTCAAATGACGTCATGCAAATAGCTGGATAAAATTGAATAAATTAATAAATTAATAAATTAATAAATTAATAAATTAATAAATTTCCGTAAGTCCTTTTCTGCATGATGAAAGGAGATAGACGTCATAAAAACCTATTTGAAAAATGCTATGATATTAAAACACTGTTTTTGCACTTTTGCTATCTATTTTATTCAAATGACGTCATGCAAATAGCTGGATAAAATTGAATAAATTAATAAATTAATAAATTAATAAATTAATAAATTAATAAATTAATAAATTTCGTAAGTCCTTTTCTGCATGATGAAAGGAGATAGACGTCATAAAAACCTATTTGAAAAATGCTATGGTATTAAAACACTGTTTTTGCACTTTTTTAAATATCTATTTTATTCAAATGACGTCATGCATGCAAATAGCTGGATAAAATTGAATAAATTAATAAAATAAATTAATAAATTAAAAATTAATAAATTAATAAATTTCCGTAAGTCCTTTTCTGCATGATGAAAGGAGATAGACGTCATAAAAACCTATTTGAAAAATGCTATGATATTAAAAACACTGTTTTGCACTTTTGCTATCTATTTTATTCAAATGACGTCATGCAAATAGCTGGATAAAATTGAATAAATTAATAAATTAATAAATTAATAAATTAATAAATTAATAAATTAATAAATTTCCGTAAGTCCTTTTCTGCATGATGAAAGGAGATAGAGCGTCATAAAAACCTATTTGAAAAATGCTATGATATTAAAACACTGTTTTTGCACTGTTTTTTTATTCAAATTTTGCTATCTATTTTATTCAAAATTAATAAATTAATAAATTTCGTCCTTTTCTGCATGATGAAATAGCTGGATAAAATTGAAAATAATTCAAATTAATAAATTAATAAATTAATAAATTAATAAATTAATAAATTAAATTTCCGTAAGTCCTTTTCTGCATGATGAAAAGGAGATGAGCGTCATAAAAACCTATTTGAAAAATGCTATGGTATTAAAAACACTGTTTTGCACTTTTTGCTATCTATTTTATTCAAATGACGTCATGCAAATAGCTGGATAAAATTGAATAAATTAATAAATTAATAAATTAATAAATTAATAAATTTCCGTAAGTCCTTTTCTGCATGATGAAAGGAGATAGACGTCATAAAAACCTATTTGAAAAATGCTATGGTATTAAAAACACTGTTTTTGCACTTTTGCTATCTATTTTATTCAAATGACGTCATGCAAATAGCTGGATAAAATTGAAAAAATTAATAAATTAATAAATTAATAAATTAATAAATTAATAAATTTCCGTAAGTTTTTCCATGATTTTTTCTGCATGATGAAAGGAGATAGACGTCATAAAAAACCTATTTGAAAAAAATGCTATGGTATTAAAAACACTGTTTTGCACTTTTGCTATCTATTTTATTCAAATGACGTCATGCAAATAGCTGGATAAAATTGAATAAATTAATAAATTAATAAATTAATAAATTAATAAATTAATAAATTAATAAATTTCCGTAAGTCCTTTTCTGCATGATGAAAGGAGATAGACGTCATAAAAACCTATTTGAAAAATGCTATGGTATTAAAAAAACACTGTTTTTTGCACTTTTGCTATCTATTTTATTCAAATGACGTCATGCAAATAGCTGGATAAAATTGAATAAATTAATAAATTAATAAATTAATAAATTAATAAATTAATAAATTAATAAATTTCCGTAAGTCCTTTTCTGCATGATGAAAGGAGATGAGACGTCATAAAAACCTATTTGAAAAATGCTATGGTATTAAAAACACTGTTTTTGCACTTTTTTGCTATCTATTTTATTCAAATGACGTCATGCAAATAGCTGGATAAAATTGAATAAATTAATAAATTAATAAATTAATAAATTAATAAATTAATAAATTTCCGTAAGTCCTTTTCTGCATGATGAAAGGAGATAGACGTCATAAAAACCTATTTGAAAAATGCTATGATATTAAAACCTGTTTTTGCTTTTTGCTATCTATTTTATTCAAATGCATCATGAAATAGCTGGATAAAATTGAATAAATTAATAAATTAATAAATTAATAAATTAATAAATTAATAAATTTCCGTAAGTCCTTTTCTGCATTGAAAAAAGAGATAGACGTCATAAAAAACCTATTTGAAAAATGCTATGGTATTAAAAACACTGTTTTTGCACTTTTTGCTATCTATTTTATTCAAATGACGTCATGCAAATAGCTGGATAAAATTGAATAAATTAATAAATTAATAAATTAATAAATTAATAAATTAATAAATTAATAAATTTCCGTAAGTCCTTTTCTGCATGATGAAAGGAGATAGACGTCATAAAAACCTATTTGAAAAATGCTATGGTATTAAAAACACTGTTTTTGCACTTTTGCTATCTATTTTATTCAAATGACGTCATGCAAATAGCTGGATAAAATTGAATAAATTAATAAATTAATAAATTAATAAATTAATAAATTAATAAATTAATAAATTTCCGTAAGTCCTTTTTCTGCATGATGAAAGGAGATAGACGTCATAAAAACCTATTTGAAAAAATGCTATGATATTAAAAACACTGTTTTTGCACTTTTGCTATCTATTTTATTCAAATGACGTCATGCAAATAGCTGGATAAAATTGAATAAATTAATAAATTAATAAATTAATAAATTAATAAATTAATAAATTAATAAATTTCCGTAAGTCCTTTTCTGCATGATGAAAGGAGATAGACGTCATAAAAACCTATTTGAAAAAAAAAAATGGTATTAAAAACACTGTTTTTGCACTTTTGCTATCTATTTTATTCAAATGACGTCATGCAAATAGCTGGATAAAATTGAATAAATTAATAAATTAATAAATTAATAAATTAATAAATTAATAAATTAATAAATTTCCGTAAGTCCTTTTCTGCATGATGAAAGGAGATAGACGTCATAAAACCTATTTGAAAAATGCTATGGTATTAAAAACACTGTTTTTGCACTTTTGCTATCTATTTTATTCAAATGACGTCATGCAAATAGCTGGATAAAATTGAATAAATTAATAAATTAATAAATTAATAAATTAATAAATTAATAAATTAATAAATTTCCGTAAGTCCTTTTCTGCATGATGAAAGGAGATAGACGTCATAAAAACCTATTTGAAAAAATGCTATGGTATTAAAAACACTGTTTTTTGCACTTTTTTGCTATCTATTTTATTCAAATGACGTCATGCAAATAGCTGGATAAAATTGAATAAATTAATAAATTAATAAATTAATAAATTAATAAATTAATAAATTTCCGTAAGTCCTTTTCTGCATGATGAAAGGAGATAGACGTCATAAAAACCTATTTGAAAAATGCTATGGTATTAAAACACTGTTTTTTTTTGCTTTTGCTATCTATTTTATTCAAATGACGTCTCTGAATTCCAATTCTGAACTTTTATCTATCACAACTTCCGCACATCCAAGTTTACAGCACCTGCTATTCCAAGCGGTCACTCATCTTGGTTCCGACCAGGCTCGACGTTGCTTAACTTCGGTGATCTTACAAGAACCTGTGTTCCAACGTAATATGACTGTAGGTCAGTAGGCGTTCGAGCAAGAAACCTTTCATTATCATTTTAATAGTAACCTAACCCGGTATTGCATGAATTTTAATACAAAAAAAAAAAAAATTTAATTGTTCGTATTTTATGTAGTGAAAATTTCAGATGAAAAATGTAATATTTATGTATCAGGATTATTAGTCCACCCACATGCTGAGCAAACGTTATCAGCGAACATTTTAAATTTTGGCTAATTGTTCCTGTGCTTATTTAGCCCTTGTATCTTAGGAAAGGCAGAAAACCAATTCCCCTTACACAGTCCCATCACAAGCAAGTGGATTGTTGTTGGCATGGCACGATGGCTCGCAAGGTGAGTGTGATTTAATAAAAAAAAAAAAAAAAAAAAAACTTACTTCCATTGTTATCTTTGACAAGGAGCGTGAATACATAAATACTTAATCAAATATTGTGTATCTACGCTTTCGTCGGAACTTTTAAAATTTAGAAATTATGTGTTTTACTCTTTGGATCGCCATGTGTCCTTTTAATCAAAGACATACGCGAGAATACTCTTGTCCCGTGAATTGAATAAAGGATCCGGTTCAAAATTCCTAAAAGGGAACTATACAACGACAGACACGTAAAGAAGGCCAGAGAATACAACGGCTGAAACTTTGCGAATAGAAACAAACAAAACGACATCAATGAAACCAGACTCTCTACAAACCATCTTTACAAAAATACGTCAATTAAAACTGATCTCTTACAAAGAATACATATTGTAGTCATACGAATCTATACTAAAAATCTTGTCAGCATTAAATAACACATTGATGTTGATATGCCGTAAAAAAAAAAAAAAAAACTAACAAAACGAGCATGCTGGCTGCAATCGTAAGGCATATAATAATCCACACAAGGGGAAAACTCAGTGTTAAATTAACTGTCACCCAAACGTTGTGTGCTTTCACACACGACTTCTCTCATATTACTCTCTCACACACACACTTCGCTCACGGTTGCAATAGTTGAAGGACAGTCGATAATGACTTATTTACTTGCATATCAAGAGTATTTTATCCATTTTAATAACTTAAGAAATAAAAATAGATTGCTAGCTTTTTGGGATAAATAACGAGGAAAGACTGGCGACGTCTGTAGATACGGGTAGCTTTCAGGGTATGTAAAACTGAACTTTTATTTAATTTAGGGGTAGATTGTTCTCGTTTCCCAGCCAATGTCTAGGGATCTTGCAGGACAATAGCCCCGTGGATTAAAGCGATGGTTACTTAATTTGGTGACATGTTAATAATAAGGGTAAGTAATAACCAAGCAGTACAAAATCACAACGAAGACGAAATATTCCTAGACATGGACAGTGGAACGAAAAACAATCTACCCCATAAATTAAATAAACGGTTCAGTTCGAAATTCCTAAAGGTTACCCGGATGGACAAGCACCTGATGAAACCTGGAGAGAACTGCGGCCGAAACGTTGCGATGAACAAAGACGAAGTCAACAGTGTGAATGTGAATAATAGTAATTCCTCATTTCAGAAACTCAGACAGGAAGCTCCGAAAATTTAACGAGGAAAGAAACAAAAGGAAGCTCCTGAAAATTTAACGAGGAAAGAAAACAAAAGGAAGCTCCGAAAATTTTAACGAGGAAAGAAACAAAAGGAAGCTCCGAAAATTTTAACGAGGAAAGAAACAAAGGAAGCTCCTGAAAATTTAACGAGGAAAGAAACAAAGGAAGCTCCTGAAAATTTTAAACGAGGAAAGAAACAAAGGAAGCTCCGAAAATTTAACGAGGAAAGAAACAAAAGGAAGCTCCGAAAATTTTAACGAGGAAAGAAACAAAGGAAGCTCCGAAAATTTAACGAGGAAAGAAACAAAGGAAGCTCCGAAAATTTAATCCTTTTTAGACATCCAAGGAGTTTGCGCAAATTGATAGAAATAAGTAAAAACCGCAAAAAAAGAAATAGGGATCATAAAAGATTAAAGGATTACGAAGAGAAAGAAAGTCGTGGAGAGCCATGATTGCCCACGGCTTGAAAGACTTAATAGAGTGGGAGATAAGCCAATTCTTATTTCGTGTCCATTGAGGTTGCTTTTTTTTTTAAGGCGGAAATAGGAGTTGATTTTGGTAACTCAATTGTCTCTTTCTCTCTTAAAAAGAATAGGTTTGCGCGACGTTGGATGATCACTCATCGTGTCTAGCCTCAATGACCTTGCTTTGCGCTCGTTCCTGTAAAGATATGCCATCTAAAATATTAGACACCATAAGTTATATATAATAATAAAATGGTTAAATTTTCGCATGTCATCCCTGCGTATTATACGCATGCACGAACAACAGCGGATATTGAATATAGGAGATAATTTTCTTATCGCCATATCGGTGGGGGCGGAAACAGAGCCTCACGCATATTTTTGTTTGTTTTTGGTAGGGTCAGAAACAGTAAAGGATTTTCAGGAACAATATACATTGACTGATTTTTTTTTTTTTACGTCTTAACATTTTGCAGGCTATTTAAAGCGATAAAATATTTTTAGATTGTAATTTTTTGGAAGGGGATAATTATTTAATGATACGTCTTAATTAACCTATAGCTGTGGAAGAAGAAGTGAATTCATACCTTTCCCCAAAAGGTATTTGCACGTAAGTGAATATAACTAACCCGATTAAATTGGAACACGGCTCTCCGATTAACAATTCCGAGCCGTTATCCATTACACCACCCACACATCCAAGCTTACGGCACCTGGTATTTCTAAGCTGCCACCCATTTAGTTACTGACCAAGCTTGACATTGCTTAACTTCGGAAACAATAAGTGAAAAAAAAAGTGAGAGGTAGATAATCATATGATTGGTTTGTAGAATTTCGTAGCTAAATCCAAAAGTATAAAGAAATTGATATGCGTTTTATTTTAAGGTATGAGAGACGACAGCAAAAATCTCAGCCCAAAGGACATGACAAAAAAACTGAAAAGGTGAATTTCTCAACTGAATGAAAAAGGTATTCAAGACATGCAGTATGAAGTAACACACGAAAGAATTATAAGCGCAAGTAAATAGAAGGGTTTAATGTGAAATTTATTTTGAAAAACTGCAAAATAAAGATACATTACATATGCAGAAAACAATAAAATAAATAGCATGACAGAAAACATGCTTTTTGGCAAGATGCATCGATCTAAGACAGAACCTTTACAATGGAAAAAGAAAAGACATTATAAAGATGGAATACATAAGAAAAGTGTTTCCATGACAACATAGGATAGAAACCTACAAGAAATATAAAACAAGAAATATAAAACAAAAACCAAAAAAAACTAGGAGCCGTAATAGTAAAATCTGAAGCGAGGTTAGGACGAGCCAAGATGAAGAGGAAAACCTACTTGATAAATAGTTGGAAGGACAAGGTTCACGGACAAGGTTCACAAAAGACTGGAAGAGAGTCAAAATGACTAAGTATTTAAAGTTATGGAGGTCGGAGTTCAACTACAGATATCACACAGGAGAAATATAAAATTCAGAACCAGACTTAAATGGCTTTTTTTCTCCCTCTCCATAACACGTATATTTTTTTTAAACCAATTTCATTGACAGAGAAGAGAAAGTAAAAACAAAATGCCTTCCCTTAAGCTTTTTTTTTAGGAGAACCCTTGAATTGAAATAAAGAGAACAAAGTTCTTCTTGCCTTTGAATCCCACCTCAACTTTTTTCATTTTTTTTTTTTTGGAAACATTCAAAATACTTCCAAAAACAGCTGCTGCGTGTTAAAATCTCATTACGTTTGAAGTTTCATGCGAATTTGTTTAATGAGATTTATAAGAAATGTCGTAATTAAAAAAAAAAGTTATTTTTACAACCTTCCGATAGTTTCTGTAAAAAGCCAATCCATATCAAATTTCAAAACACAAGCTCAACATCTTTTTTTTTTCACTAACTCGAAACGCTTGTATTTTTATCCCCTTTGATAACTCTGGGTAAAAATTGCTAGCCTAAAATGGCACTTATGCTGATTTTAACGCTTTTAGATATAAACACAAAAATTAAAATAAGGTAAAAAATACTACATTTCTGCATTTGTTGATGTATTTTATATATAGGGTACCACGCTAAAAAAAAAAAAAAAATTTTTTAGCATGATGAAAAAGACGCCAAACTTGACGAAAACAAAATTTTATGGTCTAAATGTTTATGTTATTATTAAGAGAAAAGATCAAAATATTTTGGGGGTATTTTTTTTTATTTTTTAATCGTTCCTAGCACGTCCGAAATTTTCGTTAAAAATCTTGTTTTTTTGTTTTTTTTGAGTCAGCAAAATTGACAGATGGCAATCATTTTTTTCAATTTTATAAAAAAAATGAAAATGTCACTTTGAAATTCTTTTTAAATATCAATTATCCTTTTTTCAAAACTTATAAGAAAATCAGAAATTATGTTTATTTAAAATATTTTGAACCAAGTTTAACTTAGCTTCTGCGCCGAAAAGATGTAATTTGAAAATAAAACAAAGCAGGTCATAAACTTTCACCTCACTTAACAGATGATGAATGACATATTGACGGATAACGTGAGGATAATTTGTTCTACGAAAGGAGAAAAGTGAAATTATTTACATTTAAATGAACAAATTATTTAACACGTTAATTCTAAGGAAAACTTTCAGCGCTCTAATTTTTTTTTTTTTTTTGTACTTAGCTTTCACGTTGCTTTATGGAAAATATATTATAAAGAAATTAAAATAAGACTTAAGAGTGAGATTAAATTTCATAAGAAACGTATCTAATTATAGGAACCTTTCGTATGAAATTTTATCAGAAGTGTACATAAAATACTATAATTTTATGTACATTTATTATTATTTTACTGTGTTATTTGTATTTCCATTCATTTTATTATTGATTTTGATATTTCATTTAGGAAAATGTCATAACTGAGATTAATATAAAAATAAGATCATATAAATTTCATAAGATGATACTTGTAGGTACCCTTCTCAGTGGAAATTGAAAAATCAAAT